GAAGAACAACAACGAGAACAACAATAACAAGGCACAAAGGAAAAGAAGCGAATCGAAACGGATCAAAGCCAGAACGCTGTTCATCATGCCCCCACCAGCCTTAGGAAATTTATGTGGGGTAATGTTTAAGGCACAATACAAGACAGACGACACCAGACACAAGAACAAGAAGAAGGAAGAACGACAACGAGAACAACAATAACAAGGCACAAAGGAAAAGAAGCGAAAGGAAACGGATCAAAGCCAGAACGCTGTTCTTCCTGTGTTCTTTGGGGGGGAGGCGCTGCGCCCTCCCCCCCATGCCCCCCACCAGCCTTAGGAAATTTATGTGGGGTAATGTTTAAGGCACAATACAGACAGACGACACCAGACACAAGAACAAGAAGAAGGAAGAACAACAACGAGAACAACAATAACAAGGCACAAAGGAAAAGAAGCGAAACGAAACGGATCAAAGCCAGAACGCTGTTCTTCCTGTGTTCTTTGGGGGGGAGGCGCTGCGCCCTCCCCCCCATGCCCCCCACCAGCCTTAAGAAATTTATGTGGGGTAATGTTTAAGGCACAATACAAGACAGACGACACCAGACACAAGAACAAGAAGAAGAAGGAAGAACGACAACGAGAACAACAATAACAAGGCACAAAGGAAAAGAAGCGAAACGAAACGGATCAAAGCCAGAACGCTGGTCTTCCTGTGTTCTTTGGGGGGGAGGCGCTGCGCCCTCCCCCCCATGCCCCCCACCAGCCTTAAGAAATTTATGTGGGGCAATGTTTAAGGCACAATACAAGACAGACGACACCAGACACAAGAACAAGAAGAAGAAGGAAGAACGACAACGAGAACAACAATAACAAGGCACAAAGGAAAAGAAGCGAAACGAAACGGATCAAAGCCAGAACGCTGTTCTTCCTGTGTTCTTTGGGGGGGAGGCGCTGCGCCCTCCCCCCCATGCCCCCCACCAGCCTTAGGAAATTTATGTGGGGTAATGTTTAAGGCACAATACAAGACAGACGACACCAGACACAAGAACAAGAAGAAGAAGGAAGAACAACAACGAGAACAACAATAACAAGGCACAAAGGAAAAGAAGCGAAACGAAACGGATCAAAGCCAGAACGCTGTTCTTCCTGTGTTCTTTGGGGGGGAGGCGCTGCGCCCTCCCCCCCATGCCCCCCACCAGCCTTAGGAAATTTATGTGGGGTAATGTTTAAGGCACAATACAAGACAGACGACACCAGGCACAAGAACAAGAAGAAGAAGGAAGAACAACAACGAGAACAACAATAACAAGGCACAAAGGAAAAGAAAGCGAAACGAAACGATAAAAGCCAGAACGCTGTTCTTCCTGTGTTCTTTGGGGGGGAGGCGCTGCGCCCTCCCCCCCATGCCCCCCACCAGCCTTAGGAATTTTATCCCGGCGGACCTGACACCGGCCCATGATTTCCTAAAAATTCTTGTTTCGCTGTGGCGCCAGCTCGATTTCATGTGGAAACAACCATGAAAAAAAAAAACGTTTTAGTGCTGTTTGCAATCCTTACAGGGTTTTGTGCTTCAAAACCCGGCGAAAGATCAAAGTGGTCTTTTCTCTGCACCGCATTGAGAGATCTTACAGCTTCGCCAGTGGCGGTCAGCAAGTCGAATGCTATCACACCCCACCCCACCCCACCCCACCCCACCCCATGCGTAGCGTAGCATCACATCATGTCTTGCAGTAGTGACGAATGCGTAGCGTAAGCTCCCATCACGTCTTGCAGTAGTGGCGAATGCGTAGCGTAGCATCACATCATGTCTTGCAGTAGTGACGAATGCGTAGCGTAGCCTCCCATCATGTCTTGCAGTAGTGACGAATGCGTGGCGTAGCATCACATCATGTCTTGCAGTAGTGACGGATGCTATCACACCCCACCCCACCTCTACTACTTCTACTTCTAGTCACGCCAAGACCTAAAAAAAGATTTGCTGCGAGATGAGGAGTAGGGGGCGGTGGAGCCTTCCTGGAAGCTGGGGGGGGGGGGTGGACCCACCCCGCCCTGTTTGTCGGCAGCTGGGGGGGGGGGTGGTGGACCCACCCCCCCCTGTTTGTCGGCAGCTGAGGGGGGGGGGGTGGGTTTGTCGGCAGTGAGGGGCGGGGGTGGTGGACCCCCCCCCCCTTTGTGAATGGCTGTAGTGACTGTGAATGGCTGTAGTGACAAAGCTGGGGGGGGGGGTGGTGCACCCCCCCCTACCCAAGTTGAAGAAGAACACAAGTGAGCAAACTATCGGTTATCCTATAAATTATGGAAAATAAACAATGTTTGAAACCACCAACCAGATATTCTATTGAAACCTGTCCAACCTGAAGTTGCTTCCATTTACCCTCCAGTCCCAGAAAACATGGCCTGGCCCGACTTCAAGAGCTTCAACTTCCTTGCGCAGAACGTGCACATGTCTTTATTAGGAAAGCCGGGCCAGCCCGTGGAAAAAACGTTTTTTTCAGCCAGATTCTCCAGATTCCAAACGAGTTTGCTGCTCAAAAGTGTTGATGTTGGCGCGTTTGGCATTCTGCGTGCTTTGCCAATGGTAATCTAAAACCCCAAACAACAATCATCTGTGGCCTCAACTGACCTTTTGGTCTGGGTCGTAGCCTGCAAATCGTCCCTATTGATCCCATTGATCTCATGGTTGTTACCCCATCCAGAACAATCTACTGGACTGCGTATTTAAAAGCTGTTTCATTCAAATGCGTTCATCATTTAGCTCATATGATTTATGATCCTTTCAGATTAATTGCTAAATTTGCTAGATGGTTCTAAATTCTAAATTAGGATCATATAGAACCATCTCGCAAGATTTAAAATCTTCTATCTGTTAATTCTAGATGGCTAGAACCAGAGATTCTAATCAGGAAGATATTCCCATCTTTGACACCTCCGGTTCTACCCAAGGTTGGGCTATCTGAGATCTCCCCGTTTTAGATGGGTTTTTCACATGGTCCCCAAGCCACCCAGTTTGGGAAAAAACACCAGCGATTTTGGATGGGCTTTAGATATCTTTAGATGGTTTAACCCTTTTGAACCACCCATTTATCCATTTTAATCATTTTAGATATTCAATTATAAAACCAACTTTAAACGGTTAGACCCCGCATTCTAGATGGTGAAACCACCTTAAACCATTGGTAATTATATTGAGGTTTCCTGAAATGGTGGTACCCCTAAGTCATCCGTTTATATATATATATATTTTAACAGGATTTTCAATTTTCCATGAAATGAAGCATCGTTAAACCAGCCACGCCAAGCGATCCAAGCGACTGCGAGGCAATTCCGCGCAACTCATCCGCCAGGCTTCCGCAGCTGGTATGCTGCACCTTTTTCCGTGAGCTTTTTTCCAAGATGTTAAAGGTTCAATTTGTCGGAAAACGATGGAATTCGAATGGAAATCATAGGATAAATGGATGATAAAGGAACATATATAGGGTTTTCACTATAACGGAAAGCTGTTACTTTTTCACTATAATGGAAATAAAGGGATTCATGGATTATGATTATAGTGGACTATATTAGAAGTCCACTATGTTGGAATTATAGGGATTAAATGGGCATATCAAAGGAAACCATAGTTTTTTTTAATAGTAAAATTGTGTTTTTTTTAAATTGGGATACCCAAAAACATGGGGTTTTCATTACCGAAATCGCCTCATGACTTGGATGATTTGAGGGTACCACCATTTTAGGTAACCTCCATGTGTGTCTTTATCATACGTTAGGTGGGAAAATTCCACCTACTGTAATGTTATTTGAAATTCCACTTTTATCAGAAAAAAATCACCCATATGTGCGGTACATATATTTTTTCCGGTGCATGTGGAATTTCACGAAAATCACTCAGTTTTGTAGGGTTTTTGTTTGCCATACATGGAGCATCCGGGTTGTCTTTTTCTGAGAAAGAAAACATACATATATGGGAAAATTAAAACAGCTTGGGAACAAGTTGACAAGAAACTATGAGGAACATGTGTATAGATAACTATGAACAAATATTAGAAATATTGCTGGGAACATAAATCTGTTTTATTTCAAACCCAACCAAGGAGGATCCTTCAAGAAGTTCTTAATAGTCTTAATTCAACCAAGTCTGAGTGACTTCAGATGTTCATCCATGTCAAGTGGCATCTTAAGTGGCATCTTAATTATATCATCTCATCATGTCAACATAGGAAATCACGTGTCAATCTGACCCAGGTGTATACCATGGTATACCCAATACTGGACCTCTGTTGGGGACGGTGACCGTCGCTTGGAGGATCATCCCACTTAAAGTAGTTTCTTCATCACCATCTCTATAACATTCTATAGCCCAGTTATATATATATATTATGTATATATATACATATGTAATTAACAAAACCATGGGTAACATCACTTGGGGGACTTACAAACTAGGCTTTGTGATCACTAAGTGGGATAATCCTCCTAATATTGGGTCTACCATCGGCTCGACATGAAACCGGCACAAACAACACGGCACGTGCCAAGCTAAAAAATTACAAAACATCTCCAAACCCGAAATCATTGGGGCATCTTAGTCTTGAAATTCAAGCTAGGTAACATGTGGATCATCTTTGGTTCTTGATATAATTCCCGGTGATTCAAATTCTACTACTGTACCTATTATGTCATCCAACCACCCGCTGTGGACCCACACGGCATCCCAAGCATTGCGAACGTTCAGCGGCTTCCCATCGTTGAGCGATTCCACCAGTTGTTTCATCAGGGCCTCGGGGTACCCCGCCTATCTGTCGATTCCTTCCATCTGATACCGAGGGGTGATAGAATGATGTTATTGATGCTAACATGGAACCACAAAACAAGACCATATCACTTCATGCCACCTTAAACCAAACAGATCAGTTATATACGTATATATATATATAAATATGATACCTTATTGATCAGTTAGTTACACTATGTGATGTGCAATGATCAGTTTCAGTGGCCCAAATCTCAGCCAGCACGCTTTTTGGACTCCGCACATTTGGGCGAGAGTCATATGGTTCAGATCCAAAATGATGGACCTACAACAGTAGGCTGAGCACGGTGTGATCCGGGATAGCCCGCGCGGGAAAGCCCGGGAGCCGGCGCAGGTAGCACGCCAGCGCTCGTGGCGTTCCCAGTGTGACCACAGTAGGGGCAGAAATCGCCGTGGCTGGCAATTCTGCCACACATGCATTGCTCCACAAGGCACTGCTGCATGGCTACAGGATTTGGTGCTACTGGGCTCGTGAGATGCGGTTGCGATGCTTCCGCCACAGGCTCCGGTATTTCTGCCTTCTCAAAACCACGAAAAGATGCCAGAAGGTTGGGAGGAAGAGGTCGGAGAAAGACTGGGCACCCAAGTGTGTCCCGACCTTTTTCCTTTCGACTGGCTTTCACTTCCTGGGCTCGGGGCTGATGTAGTGAAATGGCACTTCCTATGACTTCACTGAGTAACTATACTTTGAACATCCAAACTCCCAGTTGGCGACAAGAAGTGATGCCGCTTCAGGGAGAAGGAGCTGAGAAGATATAGTGAAAATCCCAGGGAAAATGGGGCATCGTCATCGTCTTCTTTTAGCCATTCAGCGAATGGGTTTCCAACAGTTTTTTTTTAAAGTTTTTGTCTGTAAGTTAAAGGGGTAGGTCACAAAAAATATGGCGTGAATCAGAGAACTTCATAATCCCAGGTTCGACGGCACATACACAGACGCATCCAAATATCTGCTATCTGCAGTTGAATGATTGCCACCTACCTACATAGCATCACTTAGCCTTAGCAAAAACACACTACTGTGAACTCATGCGTGTACATATACATATGTCACATGCATGTAGTGCATAGTTATTGTTATCATGGGATCAAGAACCCAACCCATTTGAATCCATTCGGGGAAGTATATAAACAGTTATCAGTTATCAGGGCATATGATAGATGTTTGATATTGCTGAAAAGACTTGCCAATTAATAAAAACAAATGCATGGTTGTTAAACAAATACGAAATGCCTAATGTAATTGAAAACACTTGTTGCTGAAGAACTTGCCTAAATGAAGAAACATCTGCAGAAAATCCTGGCCGTAGTCAAAAATCTAACCCCAAAAGTCAACCCCGGGGAATTCTTGTTTCCGTCGAGAGTCGGCTTACGAAAAATTCAGTGGAGCTTTACTGCTCCCAGGTTCACGTCAAAAACCTTGCATTCATGCCTAGAACATAACATGAAAATGAAATATTTGAAATATCATAAAGTGAATCTTGTAGGTCTGTATCAGTATCTACGTCCATCTCCATACATCCAGACCCATCCACATCTATCTAAATCTAAATCTATCTACATGTATCTACTACCCATCCATCCATTGCACTCAAAGAATACCGATTTAATTGTCATAGTACAGTATACATCCATCCATTACACCCGAATACTCGTTACAATCGATTACAATCGTGACAATAATTGTTAATTGCATAGATAATCATGACTAATTATCATGTATCATCTACCCTCTTGAACATAACTATTGTTGATTTACTGCCCATGAAAAATGGTGAAAAATCGGATCCAGTTCGCAAACTGTAAACGTAAATCGGCTACGTCTCAGGGACTCATCCGCCGTTGAACATTTGGGATCAAACGGTACCCGGGTAGCCTTAAGGGTACCCCAATCATCAAATGGTGAAAATACTGATTACCCTCTGGTAAACTAATATAGCTATGGAAAATCACCATTTTTAATGGGAAAACTCACTATAAATGGCCATTTTCGATAGCAAACTGTTAAATTACCAGAGGGTATACTGATGGTATCTCCATCATCCCATCGGTATCTCCATCATCCCATCGCCCAAGGTTCAAAGTAATGCTCCGCATTGGCCTCAAATCCTTGCACTTCAGCCGCCGCAACCTCCAGTGTCACTTCAGCTGAGTGACTCTTCAACCGTTTCCTGGGCAGAAAAAATGAGAATCTTGCGGTGGAGATGTGGGCTATACATATACATGTATATCCTTATGTATATATATATATAAATAAATAAACTACCTTTATAGTTTAATACAAATCATTTATGCATACTCACACGTGCACATAAACAGATACATAACAGGTTGTACTGTACATAATATTTGTATGTATGTATATATATATATATACATACATACATACATACATACCCTAACCAACAAAACCCGAGAAATTCGCAGGGTCAGCTGGGAAACCCAGGGTTTTCAAACAAAACCCAGGGTTTGGCAACTCTGACCAAAATATTTTTTGGGAACCATCCAACCGAGGAGCTTTGTTTCGAAACACCAGCAACCATAAACCACTTTGATTTCGAAAAACGCAACAAACACCAACCAAAACAGGATGAGATTTTGAGGCAGTCAACCTGCGTTTAATTTCACGGGTTATCACGGGTAAATCACGGGTCCATCACGGTTTCGTCACAGGTTTGGAAAAACATGGGGTTTTCTCAAAACCCAGGGTTTCCGGGTCCAAACCCAGGGGTTCTGAGTTCCCGGTTGATCAGCCAAGTCTCCGGTGGAAAATGCTGTAGAAGTGTTCTGCCGCCTGTGACATGGGAGAAGAAGGGCTGCTAAATCCCAAGGGACAAAAAATCCCACGGCTGGAAGAAAAAACAACACGCCTGGTTTTGCGCAGTTCCAGTTGTAACGTGGGTACATAATAAGTATAGGCATAGGGTACCAAAAAGTTGTGGGGGCTCTATCCCAACTTGTGAGGGTTTAGAAAACCATGGATGTAGCTATTTGGAACCCCATCTGCGCCCCGAAGTAAGCGAGGCGCAGTTCCAATGGATGGTCCTCACCATTTTTTTTGGGTCACCCACGATTTGAAAGCTCCCAAGTAATATCAACTAGTAACTAATCTGGCAATCCCTCATTCTTATTCATTCTTCAGGTTTAGTAACATATGATATACATATGTAAGATTTTATAAGCCTTACATGCTAAGCCGCTACAAATTGGTACGAGTAACATCTCTGGTTTCTGATTTGGTCCATTGCTTCACCCAGATTCTTTTTTCGAGCGCGCCTGTGGACTGGTGAAGTTGCAAAACGCAAAGCCCCGGGAGGCCCGGGTCCGCGGATCGATGGGGAGGTACATGAAATCCATCTTCCCTTGAAAGCCCGCAGAGAGCAATTCCCTCAGAAGCTTCCTTTGGCTGTATTTCCTGGCTCGAATCAAGGCAGAAAAGCTCAAGAAACTTGCCGCAAGGGTTTTTTGGACTCGTTGGGACAGGTTTTGATTTCAGACTTTAGTGCAGCTATATGTTGTTGGCAGAGTCACACAGTCATCAAATGCTTGAACCAGTCTGCACAAACAAACCAACGAACAAACACACCAACCAAAGAAACATGCAAACACACATAAATCTGACGCTGATTCTGAATCATTCTAAATATGCATTAAAATAATAGGCCGTAGGAACTGCCATAGTTTTTGGGGTTCCCCAGTTCAGAGAAACACATAGAAATCTGTGCACATGTTCGGAAGCCAAAGTGCAAGGGTACATTCTTTAGCATCACCGTGGTCTGACCAGAAAGAGCTGCCGCTGCGCTTGCATCCATGGATTGAAAAGAGGCCTGCCAGGCTATGACTGTGAACAAGTGATCAAAAATAGCATGGCCAATGTAAAGTTGTGATGGGGAGTCCGAGTTACTTGAGTGATATCACAATATATATATATAATATAAATAATATATATAATATATAAATAATATATATATAATACATATATATATAATACATACATATATATATTTTATATATATATATATGTGTGTGTGTTACACAACTAAATCACAACTATGGCATTATACTTTCCTTTGTGTCTGGTAAGGCCAATGATTGATAATGATTGCATCAGCACCTGCCAAACGATCATTTTTTATCCTTCCAACCAGTCAACACTATCACAGTATCAAGCCTCAACACTTTGCTTGCTGGGGACACGATCTCTCTGAGAATGTGATTGATTTGGGAACATGTCTAAAAATGTTAAATTGCACTCAATTTTGAGACATGTTTGAGAGAGTTTAAAACATATGTGCATGCTTGATTTTTTTAGATCCTAAACATATGTTGAAACCCTCAATCAGATGAGACAGTGGATGATGAAACCAGTTGATCATTGATCATTGCAGACGCTACTATCCATCTTATCCATCCGATAGATTAAGAGTAACCAGCAACCCTCACATGATGGTTCAACTATTTAGGGCGGGGGTGTCCTCAATCACATCTTTTCTCGACTCACGGATTTGGGCGCCAAAGGCTCATTGACCAAAGGCTGTGCCAATGCTTTCCCTTTCAACACCACTAAAAGCTGTCAAGATACATCTTCACTTCCAAGTTCCGTTGTCTCCTGTGCTCGGGTAGCAAACCAACACCTTGTTGGTTTGGGGTTAACGTAGATACTCTTGATACTGTACTAATCAATTGGCATCCTCATAACTGAAAGCGCATGGTTTGGCAGCGGGTTACACATCCCAAACGGGATTTATCATGTCATCTCTACTGATTTGCTTGGGGCTTGGGATGGCTGGGGGAAAGGGTCCCAGCTTCCTAGTCTACATCGAGTCTGATCTACAATTCACCTCACGGTGAAACAAAGCACTGTGGAGCTGAAAACCATGCTACCCTCATGCATTGGCCTATGGCCTATGACTCCTATGACAGCTAGAAGGAGGAAATCTTTGACGTTCTCGAAATCTTGAATTTTGATATGTATTTTCATAAACTATGATAAACTCCCAGTAATTAATTAGAATCATTAGAATGCTGGAAAGCCACCATGTCTTGTCACATCAAACCTACACCCTGGAATTTCCCAGGGCCGGCCCCTCCGGGCCGCCTGAGACCCTGTGGATGGGCTGCTACCATCGGTAGCGAATTTGGCCAAGGCCCGAACCAAAGTCTGTGAGAACCTCGACGTCCCAATGACGTATGGCTCAAAACATGTCAAAACATCAAAGACCTTTGGGACGAATAAATTGCTTTGTCATGCTTTGTCTATAGGTCATCATAGAATCATATTTCTATATATTTCTATGATATTTTTAGTATGAACCACTTCACCATCCAATGAATTGGTGTACCAACAGAACCTCAGCGCCCGATGCCCAGTGGCCCTGCTTTCTCGGAAGCTTCCCGATCGCTAGAGGAAGCATCCCTTGGGGTGCTGCCTGGTGAAAAAGAACTGCTCGACGCATGGGATCTCTGGGGCATAGCCAGGTCTACCTTTGGCGACTGGGCTCGAGAAGGATGTCGCGGGTCGCGTTTGGTGGTTTTGGTCGGTTTTTCTCGCAGACTGTGTTGATATCCACTTTGAAGAATAGATTGAATAGATATGGTTCAGGAGGATTTTGATATTTGCGGCCCATGAATTCTCACCAGCCTTGCCTGCGAAAGGCATATTGGGCATGTCACCCACATACTCTCACTCATGGGTCTAATTGAAGGCAAAGAGATGCAACAAGTATGCCAACATGAGCAATACCATGCAATTCCCAAATATTAGCGTTGTAATTATCGTGATTAGCTCGTTGGTTGAGAGGGATTCGGGCCATTCGGGTAATGATTATCCCAAATAAAACGGGGTTGCAGCAGGCTGCAGGGTCCCTGGATTCAGACCAACTGTTGCACGGCCATTGCGCCGTGCTGCCGGGCTTTTGCGAAACGCAAAAGAAGCCGTGCTGCGGAAAACCAATCCGAAACGATCCGAAAATGGATTGGCGGGTAGAAACCAAAACAAATAGAAAAGAACCATGCTACTTGAAGCTGTTGGTGCATTTGACCTTCTGACTTTCTTTTCCTGCAGCTTTCCCAAACAACAATTCTAGGAATGATTTTCTCCCTTCTAGTCGTGAAATCCAGCTGTCCCACACAATGTTGAGAGGGATAAATGCCATTTGTAGGGTGGAAATACAGAAAGGATATGCAGACACAGAGAGAGGGAGAGAGAGAGAGATATATATATATATATTATATATATATATAATATATATATATATACTTACACAATAAAGACCACATGATACCACCAAATTTGCATACTGGACCATCAAAATTGGGGGTATCCTATCTTCAAACAAAGCTATAGAACTCCCTTGGGCTCCGCACAGCAAAGGATGAAGCCCCGACAATCTGACCAGCCACTGTCTTGGGATGCCTCGGGCCCGGCTAGTGCGGACTGACTTGGGGGTACTGCGGAGCGATTTGGTCTTCAGGTTGACTTTCAAGACGAAGCACTCCGCAGGACCATGTCTTGCGCTGCTTGGTATACAACAGCAACGGAAGCCACATTTCCCCCTTCCCCCCATGCGCTACCAAGAAGCAAATTACAGGTCGCCAGCAGCTGCGCATGCATGGCCTGCGAAATCAGCGGTGGCACAGCATATCGAAAACATGATTAACACATTCTCAACAAAGAAGACAAAACAGTGATGATCATTGTGAAAAAATGCGCAGCATCTACCCCTGATCATTCACTGTGATACGAGGAAACGGTAGTTCGACCCCATCAACGTTGATGTGGGCTTCCAGCTTTTCAGGTGCTTCTGGGGATCCGAAAAGGGCTCCCCAAACTGGGCGCTTCCTCCACATTTGACTGAGCAGATACGATTAACAGTAGTAAAATGTAGATGAACAGTTTCTAAACCAAACATAAACCATCATAAACCATATTGTTGGGACGATTTCCCATCACTCTCACGAGTTATGGTTAGGCTATGCTGTAATGTAACTTCCCCATCTTCCCAATTTTTTTGGGGTGCATGATATTCATAGGCAATGGGAAAACTCATCGTTTCAACAAGGGCTTTGGCGGGAACTCATCGGCAATTCCCTGGGTTAGTCTACTGGCCTCCACGGCCGACCGGAACTCACTCCGGAGGGACCTGGGCTTCTCTGAAAATCGGATGCACCCCATTTTTACACGGTGGAATATATAGGTTTATCAGTTGAAATTGTTGTTTTACCCTCCTAAGCCTCATGGTCAGAACAACATAGAACAACCACATAATTGGAGTTGATCCAATCATCGGGTGAAGAGAGAGTGAACCTGAAGCACACGCTGGGATGCAGCTTCAAGATTCACGCGGTCCTAGGATTTCTTGATAGAAGGCCGGATATATCTCAAACTCTCTATGATCAATACTGGGCTGGCCATTTGGGATTTTTTGTGAGACGTTGTGGGGAGCTTTCTGATGCTTTCCGGGTGGATCGGCCTGGAGCTCAACCCAATCCCAGTGAGCACCTGCATTTCTGCTCCTGTCTTTTGTTTAGAACGGCCGTGAAGGTGATAGCCCCCAGTAAAGTATCAAATCTATGGAACATGCATGAACATCCACCATGTGGAGATATCTTTCCCGAAAGGGAAACCAGTGGATTTCCACAATTTACAGGACACCCCTATTTTTGATAGTACCAAAAACCATGGGATTCCGCCTAACGAATCCATTGCTGGGGACCACTGCTTGTATGGCATCTCCAGCAAGGTTTTCAACTGCGCATCCTCGAAGACCGGCTGCACCAAGGTGGCACATGTCCTGGACGTTGACCAGGCCCAGAGACACCAATTGGTTGGGAAAGTCTCCAGGAAAACAAGATCCTTACCATCATAATATTATCATAATATAGGGATATATTGGGGTTTCCTGTTCCAAATTTCCCCTCAATCAATCCAATGAACTTTGGAAAATAACCTTACTATTGAAAATGACCATTTGAGTTACTGTACCCTTAGAACTCTCAGTTTCAATAGTGAACACTATAGTTGCATAGCTGTCTTCTCGTGTTCGTGGATTGCAAGTCGTATGGATCCGCACTTTTGTTCGGTCATACGCCCTACTGACTGCACCAAAATCATCAGATTAGAACATGATTCAATGATTCATCGAAAACTACCGCGCAATCATGCGTAGCTTTCATCAATGAAAATTAAGATATCCCCAGAGCGATAAAAAAAACACATCCCGACTAGTTTGATGATGATTTGCTATTTTTATTTTTTTTTGAGGTTTCTACATGTTACCCGCCAGTAAAGGAACATAGCTATAGAAATCCATGGGTTTCTACAGGAAAAAATCTAAAGATTGTGGATTTTCCGATTTTCCATAGTCAATGGATTGGCTTATATACGGGGAAAAACATACATGAAACGCCCATATTTCATGGGAAAATCCAGAAAATTTCCGGTCAATATTTTCCCTGAACCAATCCATTGACATAGCGCTATGTTAAGTGAAGGGTAATAGGCTGTCATAGGCGCCACCCTGCCTGTGGTTGAAGAAACGCAGAAGACTTTGACGCACCTCAAGGATGCAGAAAAATGTGTCCGTTGGCCCCGGAAGAAAACCACAACAAAGCAAAACAAATGGGATACAAATGGGTAAACTTACACAAGGACATCCATTCGCAAGACATAGTATATCATCATAGTCAAGATATTTGATGAATCTGATGTTGATTGATATTCAAACGGATTCCCTAGGTTTTGCCCCAAATTTTTTCACACCCCCATGACTTCGCACCGTCTCTGGCTGGTGGACCAATGAGATACACAAAGAAATCCACCAAAAAATCATGAATCGTTTTAGCCCATTTACGGAACTCACCGAAAACACCTATTCCTATTTTGCGCCTCCCCAAAAACGGCCAAATCTGAATGGAAGGCGACCCATTCCGATGGCACCTCCATACATCCAGCGTTTGCAGCGTGCAGGGCTTGCTCCAGATACTCCTGGACAGCAATGGTGGGGCCACAGACACAGAGGTTATTTCCCCACATCTTTGTGTGGGGTTCTTGTTTTTGATTCTGTATCCCGCCTCCTCCTCCGCCGCCTCCGCCGCCTCCACCCACCATCTTTGACACACACTATCTTTCACACATCTTTGTCACACACCCACTTTGTCACACACCACTTTGTCACCCACCATCTTTTCAATACCCACCATCTTTCACACACCACTTTGTTACCCACCATCTTTCACACACAATGTTACCCACCATCTTTCACACACAACTTTGTCACACACCCACTTTGTCACACACCACTTTGTCACACACCATCTTTGTCACATACAACTTTGTCACACACCATCTTTCACACACACCATCTTTCACACACACCATCTTTCACACACACCATCTTTCACACACACCATCTTTCACACACACCATCTTTCACACACACCATCTTTCACACACACCATCTTTCACGCACACCATCTTTCACACACACCATCTTTCACACACCATCTTTCACACACGTTTGGCGTGGCAGGCGCTGGTGACGCCGCGGCACTTTGCGTAGCAGGCATGGCACTTGGTGACATCCACCTTCGTTTCACGTGGTAGGCGTGGCACTTGGAGATATATACCTGCGTTTGGCGTGGCAGGCGTGGCACTTGGAGACATCTACCTGCGTTTGGCGTGGCAGGCGTGGCACTTGTTGCACTCGCAATAGTATTGCGCCTGCCACACAAAACGACTTTCAACACGTTACAAACACGTCTGAATGTCACGAAGTGCCACACCTGCCACGCGAAACGAAGCAACCAGAAGTTTGAAACCTATAAAAAGCACCCCTTCTGCAGAAGACAAGATATGTAAGAAGATGTTTTTTTAAGGTCCAAATGTGGGTTTCATATGTTGTTTTGTGGGATTCTCCCACTGCCGCAATGCCATAAAGCTTCAATTTTGGAAGGTTTCGATCTCACCCATGTCTGGTCATCTTGGGGATTTATGGCATTGGCTTTTACCACATTAAGATACAAGGCGCCCCCTCCAGGTAAGCTGGTTTATACACCATAGCAACTATCGATATATCTATATACCATAGTGATTGGAGTTGTATAAATCAGTTTAGCTAACTATGAGACACTACCTTGTATTAAGCATCAGGGAACGGAATTTGCCACCGGGGCACCACTGCATCCATGCTGTTGCCAGCATCTCGTCGGTCGAGGAAATCTCTCAACCTCAGGGTGTCTGAAGCTCCCGAAAAATCGGAAAGTCCTTGGAAACCTATGGAAAATTGGGAAACTCTATCGAAAACCCATGGAAATTTCATTTCTATGGTTGAAACATGTTAACAAAAATAATTCTTGTTTGAACCAGACTCAGCAAACATAGATGATCGTTTGGAGCTAGGCATGATGTGTTCTTTCCAAAGGGTCTTTACGGATCATATCCTTAATTCTTCTCTATTTTAAACTATCCTCTGGTAAACAAACATAATCAGCTACGGAACATCACCAACTATAAATGGGTGATTTTCTTTAGCAAACTGCTAAATTACGGGAGCGTATATCCCAGGAACATCTTGATTTATTTGAGATAGCACCTCCGTTATAATGTCCTGAACTTCACACTGATATGCTGCTCGCAAATCCTCTGAACGCAACTCTGAATGCCTCCCAGGATTGGGGCAACAACACCCAAAGGAGAGCAGGACGACTCACATCCTGAAATTTGACATTTGACTCCAAAACCTAGAGGTTTGGTGAGTCGTTATTTAATCTTAAGTGATTTAAGTGGTATATCTTTGCGCTTTCCGGTTCCCTTCAAAGGTCAACTGTATGGGCAAAAAACACCACGCAGACATGCGTCTGAGCGGCACCAAATGGTTTGTAAAGTATTCAGACGCTCCGATTAGTTTCCCGCATTAGCAAATCAAGGAACGAGG